CTCATCTGTTAGCTCAGTCTTAGTTATCATAAATCTATATATTTTATAAGACTTATCTTTTCAGATGCCTTATTGGTGTCCCTGCTTACTGGTGGATCATATTGTGCTGCTGGAGGAGGAAGGGTAAAAAAAGAGAGCCACTTCCTGTTTCTCCTTCGCTTAAATATGAGTCTCCTTGCTATGTCACTTCCTGCCTGGATCACCACTTCTCTACTACATTTCCCAGAATCCTCTTTGACTCCTAGTTCTGTCTAACTTGCTGTCTCATTGGCCAAACAGTATTTTATTTAACAATCAATAAGATAAACACACACAGAAGTACATTCCCCATCAGCTCCAGAACGAACTGTTGTTCTGTTTTCTCCAAAGCACAGGTCTGTCCAATATTAGGTTTATTCTGGTCCTTTTAAAAACAAAAAAACCTATGTAACTCCATGAGAGCTCATATCGTGTTTCATTCATTGCTCATTCCTGACACTTGGAACAGCGGCGACCACACGGGGAGCAGTAAATCCCCACGGGTGTGTTGTGTGAAGGAGACTGTCACTCCGTATGTGCTGAATGAACGACAGGATTTGGTTTCCCCTTCCCTTGAATCTTTTGTACACTGTAGCTGTCGACTCCCTCAGATCGCAGGGGTCTCCTTCTCTAGGCAGGCTTGCAGTGTAAGTAGCAAGAGGCTGTGACCAAAGCACCTCCCAGAATTCCTTCAGCAGGAAGGGTTTGTTTGACTAATGGCTTCAGAGGTTCTGCCCAATATTGCTCAGCACCATGGCCGTGGAAGACTGTGGCCAGGGGCGCTGCCTGTATGCAGCAGGCAGACATCAGGGGAAGTGTTAGGAAAAGCAGAGGGCATTGTATTACTTTTGTTATTACTGTGACAACTGCCTGACAAAAGCAATTGAAGGAAGGAAGGAGGGAGGAAGGGAGGGAGGAAATAGGAAGGAGGGATAGAGGGAAGGAGGAAGTGAGGAGCTAAAGAAGGAAGGGGGAAGGAAGTAGGAAAGGAAGGAAGTCAAGGAGGAAAAAGGAAGGAAGGAGGGATGGAGGGAGGAAAAGAGGGAAGGAAGGGAGGAAGAAAGGGGAAAGGAATGAAAAAAGGAAGGAAAGAAGGCCAGGGGGAGGGAGGGAGGGGAGAAAGGAGGAAAGGAGGAGGCTTGTTTTGTTTTTCAGGGAGGTCGTGGCGGCAGGAAACTGAGGCAGCTGTGTCCTTCTTTAGACAAGAAACACACAGAGATGAACGCTGGTTCTCAGCTCAGGGACTTTTCCCCCATAGTGATCCTATCTTATCAAGCTAAAAAATCAAGATCAATCATCACAATAGTATACACTCGAGGGCCCACCCTCACCAACCTGCTTCCTCCAGCCACACCCCACCTCCCGGGT